CCCTCCTCGTGTGCAGAAGCCTACGGGATTTCTTCCTGGTGGATTCTCACGAGGCAAAAATGAGTGATCGCACTTCTACCAAAGATGTTTCCGTCGTAGAACATCGTCCAATTGCGCGTTCAGAGGGTTCGAAGAAGGCTTCTAAGGTGAAAAAAGCCGATGACGTGATTTCCACTATTACAGAAGACTCCTTTATCTCTTTTAGGAAAAAGTATCATTTTTCTAATGACTTGGTGATGAAGGTGCCAGCAAGATCTGAGCGCGTCTGCTTCCCTCCTCGAGGATATGTAACAGTGTATGAGTTTAGCTTGAAAGCGGGGTTGCGATTTTCGCCGCCGTCCGAACTGGTTGACATTCTGGTGGCTTGTGGATTGAGTTTGTCTCAATTCTCCTACCGGGCCATGTCGGTGGTAGTGAGTCTGATTGCATTTTTTAGAGAACATGGAGCGGTGTTGTCTGTGGAATGCTTATCCCGGATAGGGCGTATTTATACCGACCCACAGGGTCGAATTTTTTTTAGGTCAAAGTGGTTGGAGGTTCGTACTCGGGATCCATCCAAAGATTGGATCAGTGATTACTTTTTTGTAAAAAATGATTGGGGTCTCCAAGAGAAGTGGGGAACGTTGAAGGAGTTACCCGTTCCTCTTCATCTAGGAGCGGATGACTTGTTGAACATGTTAAAGCTTCCTACTACCGAAGCTCTTCGTTACGAGATGCTTTCTCTAAGCAAGTGCTTGGATGAGGAATATTTATTTAAGGTGGGAATATCCACTCATGCAGGGAGGTCAGGCGCACAGAAACTGAAGATATCCACGAAAGTCTCAGAAGTCCCGATAACTCAATCCAGGCGACCCGAGGGCGAGGGAGATTCACATACGCCGAAGAAGAAGAAGTCGAACGAAGTTTTTGCGGTTGGCGGCAAGGCCCCTCGCTTTTCTCCGTCCAGGATATACATTCCCGAGGATGTGCTGAAACATAAGTGCATCGATCGTCGACGGCTCGAAGACTTAGTGAGTTGACCTTCTTTTCATTTCTATCATTTTTGCATTTAATTTTGAGGATATACTTTTCACTTATCTTCTTCTTGCGCAATTCCTCGAGGCGAACAAAATCTTAGATGTCTGGAACGATGAGTTTGTGAAGGTCAAATACCTCCAGGGAGAATACAAGAATAAATACGGTGGTAGGGTGAAAGAAATGGAATCAGTGGAGAGTCAGCTTGATGAATGTAGAGCAGAATTGGCGAACAAGATTGCTTCATCTTCTTCTCAGAATGAGCGGATGGATCGTTTGCATATACAGTTAGTGGAGGCAGAGGCAACAAGTAACCAACAACTAAAAAATATACAAGCCCTTGAGGCCGAGAATAAAAAACTTCTGAACAAATTGTCGGAGAAGGTAGCTTAATTGTCACCATCTTCAGCCGTAAAGGAGTTCAAAAAATCTTATGCTTTTAAAATTTTTATCGAGGATCAAGTCCAGGAAGCTCGCGATTATTTTTACGACGTGGAGGTGAAGGCCTTAGAAGAGGAGCTCATGCAGGATGGTTTCATTAAAGGATTTTTGAAGGGCGTTCGTGCCGTGAAACGCAGAAACGGAGGGGACATTGAGGGGTTGACTCCAAGCCAGGCTTCTAGTGATCCTTCTCCAGATTCTGGCGGCGAAGAATTGGAGAGTGATATGCAAAGGATCTTCGCATTGGAAGAGGACGACGAGGATGATCTTGAGATCCTGTAGAATTGTTTTGATGCTTTCCGTGTCGCTTTTGCTTTTGTTGTGATGATTGTTCGTGTGTTGCTATTTTTGGATGATGTATTTGATGTTCGTGGGTTTTATATAAAAAAGACAATTTTCTTCTTTATATATGTTAACTCAAATGTTGAGAAAGTTTTTCTAACCTGCACGAATGCGAGAGATATCTGCTTTGGGACACTTTGACCTATCCGAGGTTATTAATCAAAGCATTTGCTTGATGATTTTAACCTGTGTGGAAGAGGTCGGACTAGATCTCCCTGGGATTAGTCGTTTATTGATTGAGATACAACATGAGTTGTGTATTTCTCGAATCATAAGAGGAAGGTCATAATAGAAGAGACAATGCAATGACAAAGCAAACATCACATTACTGTATTATATAAAACAGCACGACGATTCCCTATTAAACTTAGGGATACAAAGACAAGTGTTCTTCTACGACAACATACAAAAACCTTAAAGAAAATACAAGGCACAGTTACAAAGCAAAACGAAAGTTACGAACAATATTACACATAACAAATAGTGACATCAATCTTCTACTGATAGTATTTGCGAAGGTTATCTACATTCCAAGTTCGGGGAAGTGTCTTTCCGTTCGCGTCTTTTAACTTGAAGGTTTCAGGCTTGACCATAGCTGCTACCAAATAAGGACCTTCCCATAGGGGGGAGAGCTTGTTACGTTGAGGGCCTTTTCCAGCAGCTTCAAGGCTTCGCAGAACTAAATCCCCAAGAGAAATAGTTCGAGGTTTTATCCTTCGATTGTAGTGACGAGCGATCCGTTGATGGTATGCAGCGGTCTTAAGTGAGGCTATATCTCTTGCCTCGGGGAGGAGGTCTAGATTCGTCCTGAGTTTTTCCTCATTCTTACTGAAGTCGAATGTCTGAACTCTATTGCTCATGACTCCTATATCCACTGGTATGACTGCTTCTGTGTCGAAATAGAGGTTAAACGGAGTCTCTCCTGTAGGTGTTCTGGCTGTGGTGCGGTAAGCCCATAGGACATTCGGGTGTTCTTCAACCCATTGCCCCCCAGCCTTTCCTAGGCTTGTCTTCAGTCCTTTCAGAATTGTTCGGTTTGTGACTTCTGTTTGCCCATTTATTTGAGGATGGGAAATAGCTGTGTGGACGAGCTGAATGTGAAAATCTTTACAAAAAAACGTAAAGATTTTTCCAGTAAACTCAGTTCCATTGTCGGTGATGACCTTTGCTGGAATACCGAAACGACAAATTATATTCTTCCATAAGAATTGTTTGGCGTTCGCTTCAGTAATTTTTGCCAAGGGCTCTACTTCCACCCATTTTGTAAAATAGTCTACAGCCAGGATGATGAATTTTCGTTGTCCTGTGGCTATAGGGAAGGGACCCATTATGTCGATTCCCCACTGGGCGAAAGGCCAGGGACTTTGTAGAGAATGCAATTGACAGTTCACGCACTTTCGTGTAAACTCAAGTGCATCTTGTTTCATTGTTGGCCAATAGAACCCATGCCTCATAATCTTATAGGTCAAAGCTCTTCCTCTCAGGTGCTCGCCGCATACTCCGGAATGAACTTCTCGA